AGGGACAGAGATTACTTTTGATTAGAATCACTACTTATTTCAGCCAAGGGTTGTCTTTACTGCCTGCAAAGCATCTGCCAACACCACCTTTTGAGGGCCCACTGAGGCCCTCTGATGTATGGGGTGGAAGGACAAGTGTACCTCCCAGTGTGTGCATCCCCTGCACATCCTTTGCTGAACCATGACCCTTTGCCTGATGCAATGTTAGGTGAGAAGCTATTTCATAGATAATGGTCCCTGATTGGTAGTAATAGAGCTGTTGTTATACTATGGAGACAGGAAGAATATATTGGGCATGTAGATACTCTGACCAGTTCTAATGGTAAATGCAAATGTACAGTAGCTACAGCCTGAGGTCGTAATAAACAAGGGTTCGCACTCTGCAGAGCTGTCAGCTGGAGCTGCGGCGTCTGGTGAGGGCTGTGGACGAGGGAGAGGAGGAGTGCCAGTTGCAGCCAAGAGACTAACTACCCACAGGGCCAGAGGCCAGGGGTTGTTCCATCCTTTCCTTGTGTTAAGTTTCTCCTTGGAAACGAGGCCGATCAGATTCCTGAAGGAGCTTCTCCCGCAGCGTGTACGAAGCAGGTGCACCTGAGCAGCACGGGGCTGGACCCTCGGGGATGCTGTGCGGTGCCACCCAGGCCCCCGTCTCACGACTGAATGACTTCTTTTCCCTAGACGCTGAGGAGGTCTGTCCACCCTCTTCAGGAACTGCCTAAGCTGAACAGCACTGTCTGTCTGTCCAACTTGACGCCCACTCCACCAGGCAGTCAACATCCATTGTCTGGTTGACACAGAGTCTCAGTGTGCAGCCCCTCACGTCAACTCGGGACATCTTTGCAGGGGCCCCTGTGACAGCAGCGCAGCCCGACCTCCCAGCTGCCTCGCCCCTGCCCCCACAGACACCGGTCTCCGCAGTGCTCCCTAACGAGTTTCTTCCGTGATCATCTCTGTCACAGAGTTTGCTTCCCAGACAACCCAGCCTCTGCAGAACGCAATTAAGAAACATGGAGAAAGCTAAAGAGACACAGCCAAGAGAGCTCACAGCAATGGGCGGGGCGACGTGTGGGTGCGGATGGGTGATGGAGAGCTATTTGTCCTTGTAAGATTTCTCACACTACTTGAATTTTAAAATACGCATGTCCTTTAATACAAATTTAAAGGTAATGTTAGAAATAGAAGAACAAAAAATGACTGCACTGGAGAAACCACTGTAATCGTATAATCGTGGGTCAGATTGCTTTCCATCCCACTTTGTTTTCATTTGCAAGCCTTCAAAGCCAGGCCCCGGGGAACCCACTGATTTACCGAAAGTCCCACCCTCTTACCACATTGTATGCAAACTGTGTCAGAGTCCCTTTGTCCTCATTTCAAATTCTTTCTCGTAGGCATGCACGTCCCCACTCACACGCATCTCCAACACACAGCTGGCTTCTGGACTTTTTCTTCCCCGTTACCACTCTCCACTTCACGAACTTTGGGAAAACAGAAGACAAGCAGGACATATTGAACGTAGCTGGTAGGTTCATCATTTACTTGATACATAATGGGAGAGTCAAACACTCACCCGACCACACTCTGATATGAAACGTGTCATCTTTCTTCTAACATGAGGAACGTACTGATGATTCAATTAGTCAGATCTAATTCACATGGCATATTTCACAGACTATATAAAAGAGCTCCAGTTAAAATTCTCTCTCTTAGAGTCAAGGACGATAAGATTAATAAATACTATTTAAGGAAAATCAAATCCATTCATGGCAATGACCTATCAGTAAGGGTTTATGTTCATTGTAAAAGGATATGGGAAAGATCTAGAATTTTGTCCCAGTCATTCTGGACATCAAGAGGATATCACACAGAGGATTCCAAGACCCCTCCAGTTTTCTACACTACTGAGTACCTGTCGAAGTTCCAGTCTTGCAGGAACCAAGCTCAGCAAAATGTGGAGGGAAAATTAAAGTGTAGCCACGGCCTCGCCACTGACTTGCTGCCACATGTCCCCTGGGGGACATCGCCTCGTATATCTGCATCTCGGACACTTCATCTGTAAAACTGAGCTGTCCACACTAAATAATACATCAGTGCTCTCCGGCTGCCTGCCGGACTGTGTTCCAAGTTTGTTATAGATGAAGGACAATACCATCTAATGGAAGATAATTTTAAATAATTGATTTCTGTTTGGTTGGTTGTCTGGCTGCTTCTTCTTCTTGTCTTTAATTTACCATCTAAAGAATTGATTAAATGTGCTTTAAAGAGCAGCACTTGAGAAGGGACTGAAAGAAAAATGGAGCTATTTCCTAGAGTGGACAAAGGCTATTCTGGTGGCATTGTTTCTACAAAATTAAGATATCATTTCTCACAGATAACCCCCATTTCATACGCCACACTAACGCCACTCTATTTGCATATCTCAAAAAGAGAATGTTAATTATGTATTGTTTGCATTTGAAATCACAAATAAAGAATTTTTTAAAATTTTTATATCACAGAATGTTGCGCTACACAAAATTAGGCACAAGTACGTTTACAGTTGTTCATATGGAACATAACAGAATAATTAATAAATAATAATACAGGAATGAACTCGGTGTTTCAAGCACTCACCACTATAAACCTACATTTGCCTCAGCCTGTATTTTTCCACACGAGCCTGTGCGTCTGTGTGGTGTGCAGAGGCCAGGGTCTCTGCAGAAGTGAAAGGATATCCCCCACTTTCCATGCATAAGAACCTTTCAGTGAACAAACGATTGCTAATAGTCAAATCATTCTTCTCTGGAAAAACTTAAAGTCTAGTTTAATTTCCTTTACTTGTTACAATCAGTAAACATTTTTCTATTTTTTCTTTCATTTTGGAATCCATTTAAAAGAAAAAATACACTATAAATACAGCTTTTGTTAACAACTCATAAGAATCACAGCATGTACCAATAGGTTTCCAAAAACACACATACCAGTAAAGAAGGCATATGTCTACACATCTTTTTACTGTTCTGGGGAAAAAAATCCAGTATGATTTCCTCACTTTAAACTTCTATACAATGCTTCTTAAAATATATTGTGCATTTTAATTCAAAACTGCCTTTTACCAAGAAGAAAGAAGGAACGAAGGTTACAAGTCAGAAAATGAGAGCCATGGCGTGTGAGATACTGCTGGCTCGGTCGCCGTCAAGGTGCAGCTCCAGCTGCGCTGGCCACGGGCAGCACTAGGCTGCACCACCCAGAAGCCAGTCTACGTCCTGGCTCCCAACCAGGCCGATGCTGCTACTGAGTAACACAAACGTCTGTGAAAGACTCAGATTGTTATGAAGCTCGTATTAGGTTTGCATCAAATAAAACCACCCTCTCTGTGTTCAGTCCTTCACTGGCCACCACCACAAGCCCTTCAATTAAAAACAGGAAGTGTGCCATCTGTCAACACAGGCCCTGCATGAACTGCTATGTCAATTCATACTTTCAAGATCTGGTCAGGCATTTACAGAAACATCAACATGGACACAGTGCTCTAAGAAAAGATGGGAGGTTTTATAGGAGAGTTAAGAAGGAAAAAAAGATCCTTAATTTTCATATTTCCAGGTGTGGACAAACTAAGGAATTTATTTTTCTCTAGCAAGCATCTGGAAAGTGTGATTATGAATAGTAAAGTGACTTTATTATTTAATTGGCTTGCAGAATTCCAAGACAGCTACAAGCAAGTATCTTGTTTGCATGGCCTCAAAATTCATTACTGTATCAGTTCCATAAAGTTACAGGAATTCTTTAATCTCTTGGTATAGTACTGAATCAGAAGGTACTAGTTAGTGGGCTATATCGACTTTTGGTACATTTTGATAAATGTACCTTCATCATAAGTGTGCCCCATCACTGCAAGTGAGAATGACTGGAGAGACACACTTAGTAAGTATTATCTAAACTGTCACCACCCTTTAAGAATGAGCAGCCTTTAATCGCTCCACAGATTTTGCAGAAAGTGATTATGGTTTCAGTTTATATTTCAACACACATGCCCTGGCGGTCAGTGCATAGCACAGCACACGCCTGGGGTGGGGAGTATATTTTAGAACCGGGAATGGAACTCTGCACTTTGAAGTCTATCTATTTTCTAATACGTAAGACCATGCTCTGTGGAATACAGTGAAGGGAGATCAAAGAAAAGCTGGTGATAAACTTCAGAAAAACAGTATAAACCTATAAAGGAAATAACATTTGGGGAAAATATTCTCAAAAGTATATTTCATTTGTGATATCACAGTCATAAATAAAAATAATATTTTGCAGTGTTAAGAATTGTGTTTTTATACCAACAAATTTAGGTGCAAACATTTCACAATCCTTGGGAAATAGACAATACCCAAGGTCTTAACCACTGCTACAACAAAACAAGAGCAAATTAAACAGAAAATTTTTAAAGGCCAGACATCACACAATGAGGACCAATGCACTTTCCGAGCATTTTTACAATGAATTCTAGGTTCAGAGCTGAATTCTGACACTCAAAACCCAATGCATTCAGAATCATTAAGAAGGGTCAAATATAGAAGAAAAGCAATACAAATAAACCAATGACAACAAAGCATCTTTCACGACTATTGGTAAATTGTATTGAATGTAATACAGAGAAAGGCAGAGGGGTTCCTTTAAATGCTTTGGGCCACTAGATGCAAACACCAGCCAAACAGGATCTCAGAAGCATTTCCAGGTCCATGAGTAACACCAGGGGACACTAAAGCAAACACAGCATATTGTTTTCAGATAAAGCAAGGCCATGGGAGTCCAGTTTTGTTATTTGACTCGAACAAAGCGATGTATGACCTGGTTGAGAGACCAGGGCTACAGCTGTAAAAACCATAGTCATGGAGCCAGTTAAGCTTTCATTTTGGATCACAGCAGCACAGCTGGAAATCAGCAGCAACATCTAATTCCTCGTCACAGAGAATCACCGCCATGGGACATGTGTCACTGGGTGTGGCCTCCCAGAGCCACGGAGAGTCTGGAAATGGCAAGATGGCAGGGCTGCAGAGTCACTGACCATACTTTCAATGCGAGAACATTTTTTTGTCCATTTAGAGCCCCTGGCTATTAAAAAACAACATCGTAATTGTAAGTTAATCATAGCAGCCAATCAGAAGAAGTACTCTTTCTGATTTTCACTGACTGCATTTTGTCTATTGAGCTCAGTTTTCAAAACAGCCTCAGCACTGTCTACATTCTCTGACCTTTTTGCCTCATTTCTCTTGTATAACCTTTTCTGCTGATAAATGCGGACAGCTATGGCAGTGATACACAGCAAGATAAAGATCACAACAGCTATCAAACCTAGTGAGAGAAGAGAAAAGAAATACAGAGTCAGAATTTTCATCTGAACAGAAACTGGGTTGACTTCATTGTTAATAAATCACAGTATAATTAGTTTCCACTTAAATCAAGCATCCAACTTCATAAATTGGAAATATCAACATTTCAGGTATTTCTAGATCCAGTGGCATCATAATATTTCAAGTTTACTTCTGACTTCTATCAACCTTGAGGGGGTCACCTCCAGTTACTCTGAATGCATATTATATTCGATTTATTTAGTGCATTTATATTTAACACACAAAGGTCTCTAAGACTATTTGGTCATTTATACTAACACACAGACAAGTTTTAATTATTTTGAAATTATAGAACAACAGTTAACATCGCAAAATAATTAAATGTGTTTTTACACTTTCATATGTAAGCACTGTAATTAAGTCGATTTTCAAAAATTTGTCATCTGTAGAATAGCATGAACAGGTTGTATGTATGAATAATTCCTGACTAATGAACTATATCAATACCCACATATAAGTATATGCAGATTATTTCTACATGAGGCATACTGATTTTTTAAAACATGTCATTGTAACTGAAACATTCACAGACCACAATTGTGAGCTATGCCGATGGTCACCTGCCCTGGCACTCCACCAGGCCAGTGGTCCTCCATGTGTAATCTGGCAGGCAGGGCCCCCGGGGACACTTTGAGGGGTCCACAGGACCAGACTTTTTATGATAGTTCTAAGATGGCTCTTTCACTGCACTGCCACATGCACTGAAATGCACAGTAGGGCTGAGGACAACGCCTGCTTCGTTAGCGTGAATTCAGGTGCAGCTACCAGAGGTGAGCAGTCGGCGAATCCATAAGTAGAAGGTTTGGGCTGCGAGGCCATCACAGCGGGGAGAGAGCCAGACTCACTGAAGAGTGTCTCTGATGAAGCGCTAGAGTTACTCATTTTATTACATCTTGACCTTTGGCTATGAGTCTTTTTAACATTTGGGGCAAAGAAATGAACATTTTTCATAAAGCGCTTTTAGTGCACCCCAAAGTATGACGGTCGTCTCCAGGAAAAGCGCCATGTGAACACGTGGGTCGTGAGCTGAACGAGTAGCGTTTTGCTTCACGGAACACCGCTTTTATGTGAAAGAATGACTGACAGACGCACTACGGTTGCTTTGACTTGGAAATTTGGCAGACGGATATTTTCTCCAAAATGAATGAAGTTTCATTTTAGAACAAAGTCTGTCCCTTGAAGAACAACTGACAATATACAGGAGTGGGCAAAAGTAGGGCTTACAGTTGTGAGTACATGAAACAGTTTATTCTTGTACTATTATTTCATATTTTGTACTTTTCTGTATGAACAACTGTAAATCTAGTTTTGCCCACCACTGTATCTGCTGCCAGTGATAAAGTCAAGCTTTCTCATGAAAGACAGAATTTGAGAATCTGTTGCCTGTCACCATGAGTTTGAGAGTTTTCTAATGAGGTCGGTATTGACTAATTTTTTTAAAATTTTCAGACAAAAGTAGGTACAATGAAAACAGCAATGTGGATTAACTCTCCTATGATAAAACTAGGAGTCTTCACTCTAATTTAAGTTAAATGTATACAACTCTAGTGGAGTCCAACCAAGCCACATGTATAAAGGGTCTCACCAGGCACAGAGGACCCCTGAGTGCATGGTTTTAGGGTCAGATTCACTGTAGCGAATGGTAATTGCCAATGACTAAGCCAACTGTTGTTTAGGTCAGCCGTATCTAAGAAGGACAGCCATATAGATAAATCTAATAAAAATGCAATAACCAAATTCTATACTTCAAATCTGAAGAATTTACTAGTGGTATGGTTATCTTTACTATTAGCCATATTAATAAATAATATTTCTAATCAGAATATCCATTTGTTGTTATATTTTACCTCTAATTTTAGAAAAGCAATAGTTGCTATAAATATCTCTATTGTCTGTGTACAAGCCTCTTGTTTAAGAAAAATATTCTGAACAATGTCAATGTAAAAAAACTGATGAAGATGTTAGAGGGTGCAGGCTCCTGCAATTACAAAATAAACACCGACATCACACTGGCCCAGAGAGGACGTTCAGTCAAATTATGAATGGACTCAGGAGCTATTTGCTCAGTGTATGTGATTTTACCCTTTAATTTGGGGAAGATGTTATGCCAGAATTTGTCATGTTTGATTTTATCTGTTATGCAAACACAAAAACCCATTCTAAATAAAACATGGTCAACTGCTGCACTCTATGGAAGGGTCACCTGAAAACCTGTACGAATGTGTTTTTATGAGGAAATCATTGAGCTCCCTCTCGTCTAAATCTGACCATCCATATTTGTGTAGTCTGGCCAGAAACCCTCACAGTATCTGGGTGACTGGTTTTTAAATGTCTTAGTAAATCAATTTTCCATCTTATATTATCCAGTGTTTGTAACTGAAGAAAAATCATCTGAAATACAGAACATTGGGGAATTAACCAATTTGGAAAACTTCTTAAGTGGATTAATTATTGTTACACTGTGGGTGCAATTTATGAATAACTAGACAATGAGTGAAGAATTCTACCATGTGCTCCCAGATGGAGAAATGCACAAGAGGAGGATATTCTGTGATTTTGCAGGTGAACTGCACATGGGCCGAGACAAGGCCTTCTGAGCTTAGATGGCCGCGACCAGTTGCTCTGCTTCTGAAGCCAAGTCCCCACAATGGTCAAGAGCAGACACCAGACCCAGATCCACAGACCCTGGCCAGTCCCTGAGCTGCAAACTTGCCTATGGTCCTTCTCTGCACCATGCATTTGAATCAAATAAGAATTTCACAGGTGACATGTAACTTCTTTTCATTCTAAAGTAACACATTATGACTTACCAACATACCTCTTCTTTACTCTGTAAATCTTGTCAATGATCTTTGCTCAAAGCTACAATATTCTAAAGAGTAAATATTTTGTTCTACCATTGGCTTGACTACACAAACACACTCTATTTATCTCTACTTGTATCTCCATCTCCCTATATATATATATATACTCATTAAATGTATATTAAATGTATATTTAACACTCATATAATGTAAATATTAAATGTATAGCAAGCACCACTATGAGACTGAGACAATTTGTTTGACTAGAAAACCTGTTCTAAAATATTGAGATTGAAAGGAGTTTTTACCATATAATATATTACTAATATATTAATGTATTTCTCTTAGAGATGCAGTTATTAACAATCCTTCTAACAGGGTTTTTGTTTTTTGTTTCTTACATGACTAATTGGGGATTCTATTTTAGGTATCTCATTTACACACCATGGATCTGATAAAAAGAAAAGCAACAAAAATAGCAATGGAGGTGTTAATATTCTCACAAAGATCTGACCAGTACTATGCTGTCAAAAAAAAAACCTACTTAAAGGAAGTTGATGTCTAGATGAATAAGGGTATAACAAATAAAACCATATGTTTTATTTGCCCAAGTAAATGCGTAATCACATTACCTGGTAATGTAATAATATAATTGTTTACTTTTTATGTCCATATAATGTACAGAATATGGAAAAAAGATGAGCTACTGAATATTTCAATTATCTTATTAGTAATATTCTTAAAATCACTAATCTGGAAGAAAAAAGTTTATTTTGGGGATTGGTATTGAATAAATTACATCTCAGAGAATCTACTGTTTCACTGCCAGAAAGACATACTTTCAATTTTTTGTTAATTCTTCAAAGTAATTATGAACCATTTTATTCCATTTACCTAATATTTGACACAAATGCATATAAAAGTATCATATTTATCAATGGCAGCACCTAAACCATGGAAACCATGTCTGTTTTACTGATCATCACAGCAACGCATATGCTTCCAATGCTACTCCCAGGTTTTTCCAACATTTGACACAATCCCTCACAGAAGCAGTGACATGTCCAAGCAGCCCTCAAACATGACACTTCTTTAAATACATTCAGAATTACCCAGGGAATGTAGATAGCCATTTTCAAGCTAAATGACATTCATTATTATACAGTTTAGCAACTATTCTTTAAGTGTGGTGCTTCAGCAAAATTATCAATTATTTATACTGAAAATCTCCAAGGAAGCTGGGAATTTAGGAAAACTCTGTAAGACAATTCAGTAAAAATGGTAAGCCCCCCCCAGGGACTTCAGCACTCAGTGCCTAACACTCAGGATTCTTTATAAATAGTTTCTTTAATGTTAACAATTCCCCATTATTAGTAATGATACTAAGACCCAAAGAAGAGCCCATTCACACTTCCCATTACCTCCAATTACCGCAGAGTCACTTTTGGTAGCATTAGCTAGGGGCTCTTTGTCATCTCTTGTTCCAGAGTGATCTGCAGTTAAAAGTAAAAAAAAAAAAGGAGAAAAAAAAAGGCGGGGTGATATAGGCAAGTAAAAAGAAGAAATTTTGAAAACTTCATAAATGTTTGAAACCAGAACAGAATGTAGGTCAGTGTGGGACCTGTTATTTTAAACTTAAGAAATGTCAACTGTAATGTCCCACATGCACAGGAAAGTGAGAGTCTGGAAAAGAAATGGCAAAGGGAACTGACTGAAAGTTAAACAGCACCAGTTCTGAGGAGGTAGCATAACAGCAGCATCGGAGGATTTTAAATCTAACAGACAAACTGCGTTTGTGTCCCAGTCAAGGAAGACCCATAGGCCACCTGCAAAGGAGTGTGTCCTTTCCCTTGATGTGGCATCGGTGCCAGCCTGGGCCACACAGCTGGACTCCGCCACGTGTCCTGAGATGGTGATGAGGGCTGGGTGGCTGGGCTGCAGAGCAGCCTTCAGGGGGGCCAGGTGGCTGAGCTGCACTGCGGAGAGACAGCCCAGGAAGCCCTGAGCCCCGGCCAGCGCTGTCTCCTGGTCAACGTCGCTGTGCTCTGCAAACACAAAGAAACAGCAATGGCAGTGGTGCAAGCGCAAACCCGAGGGACACAAACGGAACACCTGTGTCTGATAGTGCAATAGTGATGTGTGTGTGTGTGTGTGTGTGTGTGTGTGTGTACACACAGTGACTAGATTCCTGTTTCTTTTGTCTTCACTTAAGAAGTCAGATCCGTTAAATCTTTCCACAACAATTTTCAGGTTAATGAAAGCAAGACTTTAAATATGGCTAATTAAATACAATATGGCAACTCTCTGGAAATGATTAGAGCCTCCGCAAGAACAGGGCAGGTTACAAACAGAGGTGGGTTCATGATGACGTTCTTGTGAAGCAGAGGTCACACACCCGAATTTTGGGGACTGTCCCTAGTTGCTCAGGTGCCACAGTGAAAATTTCCCTGTCGTACTGTCTTCCTCCCTGTTTTTCGGTCTACCACTCAGACAGAAGCACCGGTGAGCCTCCTATAGGAATCCACACTCCCCTCAGTTCAGTGAGAGTTGAGTTACTGTGGGACTACTTTGGAACAGAGATTGGCTTGAATGCCAGAATACTAATTCATAATTTTACCATAGAGAATATATTTATATTTTATGCTTAAGGAGCATGAAATCTAAACAAGCGGAATTAATTGTAGAGCTTTGGAGTTCAAAGGTTAGCAGACTCCAAGGTATCTATCTGTCCAAGATGATCATACAATAACACGACTGCCCTCCCCTGCACTGCGCATGTGCAAAGACCATGTTTGCATTTTCATCTCTTTTTAGAAATAACATAATAGAGACTAAGTATTTATTGCATGCTTATGTGCTAGGCACTGTTCTAAGGGACTGTGTGTGAACCTTACAGTGGCCATGAGTGTCTGGGGCCAGTCATAGGGAAGGGACACTCAGCTTCCCAACATTAGTGGTCTCCCTGAGATTAGACAGCGGGCCTGATGACCGGACCCTGGGCCTGTGGGACCCCCAAGCACAAGCTTCCTTTTCTTAGGAGCCACTCTCTGATTGACAGGTTCTTTCCTTTGTTCTGCTCATGTCATGTGCAGTGCCTTTTATTTATTTTATTATTAATTTTTGGTTTGGGAGCAGCTATTCTTGAAGTAACCTTGGGCAATTCAGCCCTGATTGAACCTGTCTTGTCATAGCAAGGTTTCTGAAGGACACGTTCTTTTTCTCCACCTCCATTCACATTTTATACCTGATGGTAAAAACATGATGAACTGTAAAGCATCATGAGTATCATTTACTATAAAGAGAAATGGGAAAATGAGAGAGGTGACATCACTTTCCTGCTGTGGTGGCGGAGACAGGACTCGGCCCCAGTCACCCCACCTCTGGAGGCCGAGTCCTTGCCAGCAGGCCACCCCGCCTCACAGCGCTGGGGACAGCCCCTCTGCGGCTCGCAGGCTAGACTGTAAGCAGGGGGCCCTCGACACCCAGCACCAAGCTCTTACTCAGGAGGCACTTCATCAGTGTGTAAAAACCAAAGAACTTAGTCCCTCCACACAGCAGTCACTCATTTGAACGGATAAACATTCAAACACATATATTTTTAGAAAGACAGCATTCTTGCCTTGGAGTGTGTGTGTGTGTGTGTGTGTGTGTGTGTTTTTATTTTAACAAGAAATTAAAAGGAAATATTTTAATAGCAACATAACCTAAACAGTGTTTTTCCCATTTTTTTCTACAAGGTTAAAATCTTGAATAATAGACTTTTTAAAAAAAAATCTTACCTTATGAACAACAAACCCCCCAAAACCAAAAAAACCCAGAGTAAATAGATTAGATAAGATTCATTTCTCTGATAAAAAATCTGATACGAGGTGACTTTTAAACACTAGGCCTTCGAACTGAAAACATTTTACCTATTATAAATTATTGTATAAAAATGTTATACTATAAAAGCTCAAGTAGACAGTTAGTCAATGAATATTTATTGTTTGAGAGCTAAAGGCGTGGAGAACAAATTTGCTGCAATTCCAGCACCTTGCACTCCGGTGGGGGAGGCAGAAAATAAACACAGAAAAAAGGAGCCAATGAAAATTTTGAAGCGTGATAATGCCACCAAGAAATAAATTAGAAAATGTGATGGGATGTATCTGAAACAGAACTTCATCTCGATAATCAGGTAATTCTGTTTGCCTACTTCATGAGCCTTTTCACAGTCCTGTTCTCTTAGTAGCCTGTAGCTATTATCCGGCAGCTCCTGGCCCTTTAACTTTTCTTTATCCAAAATTTGCAAGATTCCCTGTGATGTGGAAATATCTGTCAGGCTGTTCCTAGGTGGGCACCTTCCCTCACCTATTCAGTGTCAGTCTTGGTGGGCCCTTTCAATCTGCAGACACAAGGTTTTGCTCTAGCCTGGAAAATTTCATAGATTGTGTGTGCAACTCTTGTTTCGCCCTGGCCCTTTTATCTTTCTGGACTGTGGATTATTCACACTGAGGCTGCTCTGCATATTTTCTAAGTCCTTTACTTTGCCTCTTGTTTTCTATCTTTTAGGACATATTTTTGTATGGGTCAAGTGTTTCATTTACTTTATCTTCCAGGTGATGAAGTCAATCATCAATAAAGATAATTCATTCCTGCTGAGTTCTAGAGTCTGGAAAAATCAAGAAATAAAACTTTTTTAGTTCCTCAAGTTTCATTTAGTTCCTCAAGTTTTTGTTGCTTTACTAGAATTTCCTTCAGACTCTGCCATCTGTCTCCTTGAGTAGCTTTATTTGATAGGGAATGATTCTGGTTACTTTGGTTTTTCTCCCATTTTATAGCTAACTCTTCTTAAGTATGGGTTGTTTTTCCATTACGCTAGTTGACTCGCAGTCTCTGACTTCCTTAGGTGGCTGACACACAGAGAAGGTAGACAAGATAGCCATCCATGTTGGTGAAACTGCAGGACACAGAAGCCACCCAACCCCAGAACAGAGAGGAATTGGTCCAAATTTCAAGTCATCCTCAGTAGAATGCAGGAAGTCCTCAAATTTCAGGTCATTCCTTTTTTGGCTAACAGGAAAAATGGGCACACTGATATTTTCAGTGCTGACTTTCCCCCAGTGGGAGCCAGACATCTGTGCAAGCCAAGCATTTCCAATGGGACGTGGGAATCCACACAAGTCAGGGTCTCTCCTCTTCCCCCAAGATGTGTAGGCCGACCCCAGACTCTCCTCTAATCAGAGAGCAGGGAGTCAGTCCTGTGACGCCTCCTCACTGGCAACCTCCAGTCCCCCCTCCACCTGCTGGCTGGCCCAGTGGCTCCTTGCTTTGGAAGGATCAGTGGGATGGGATTAGAATTAGGAGCACGGGGAAACTACAGGGGCTTTGCACCCGTCTCCCCAGAATTACATCCAACCAAAATTAACTGCTATATTAAATTGCTCATAGCAAAATTGGCCTTAGAAACACATAGCATCAGGTGTACCCTCTGACAACTGTGCTAACAAAGGCAATGAGCAAAAATATGCATCTTCTCTGTTACCTGAGTACCGAAATGCCAACGTCAGGTAAGGGTTTGAACAGGGAAGGGGCAGGAGTTGAAGATGAGTGTCTCCTGCTTTGCACACAATCCCGATATGACAATCTCATTTTGGGTGTTTCTGGTTATAAAAGTACTCATCTGACTCAGTCTTCTGGGTAACCTTGCCTATTTAAATATTAGCCTCAACTGTATTTTTCAACAAAGGGAATCACTTCCGCTTTACTAAAGAAGAAATCTTTACCAACAGGTCTACCAAAAAAAAAACAGAGTACCCAATAATTAAAATCTGCATGAAGTAAGTGCCTTTTTATCACTACTTCTGGAAAAGATATATGAAGCAGGTGGAAGCACAATTTACAAGGAATGAGTCATGAAATTTCTTGTGGTTCTCATAACCCTAAGAAACCAAAAACCAACAACAAAAACAGGTAGACAAAAAAGACAAAATAAAACAAAATTAAATAAAACTCGGAAGGGAAATCTAAGTAGTTTGGTCATATCTTTGAAAAGGAGCCATCTTTTCAAAGGATCTCAGTATCTCTCATCCGCAAAGATGGAGATAAGCAAGGCTTGCCTGAAAAGGGTGAACCGTGAGGACATTCCCACTACACACAGTCAATCACAACAAGGACGCGACAACAGCGAACAACAGTGGAGAAGTCCAATGGCAAGGCAGGCAGCAAATTTAATGTGGATAAAGGAGCAACCGTCATAAAAGGTATTGATTGACTTGCCAACCAAACCTGCACCTCTGATATCTGACCTTGAAAGGTCAGGTTAATACAAAAGCTATTTGTTTAGAGATGTAGATAATTATTTAGGTATTTCAAGATCTCAGGTAACCTGTACTTCTCTTGTGCTTTCAGTGTAACCTGTTTTCTCTTGTCATGTGACAAGACCTTTACAAAATCAGTGTCCTGAAGTCATCTAATTAAACTTTCTTATGGTTTCCTTTGGCTTTGAAGCAGGTTTTACGTGAAATATGTCTGAGACTGAACTTTGTTCTTAAAGCTCTTCTGAGAAGATGAAGTAGACATCCTCTTCCCTCTGACCACACACTTTATTTACATCTGGCCTAAGTCTCCACTGCAGAAACCTGAGTTACTTCCTGGCTCTGCAGCCTCAGAAGAGATAAATGACCCCATATGGGTCATTGCCTCTAAATAGACCAACGCTACTGCTCAGAATGAGTAAAAACCATCTTCAGGCTTTTAGAAAACTCTAAACTCTAACATAAAACATAATCCATGATCAGGACTCATAACTTAATCTTACCGCGAGTTTTGGATATAAAGAGAAAATGTAATGCGGCCTACAAATTATGGGAGAATATGAACTGAGTTGGTCTGATGCAGCCGGTTCTCCCCACCCCCACCAGGATGCATCTACAGATTGCTGTTGGTGGTGTTCTTGCACCATTACCCACCTGTAATAAACAGTCATTGTGAACTACACTCTGCCTTCAAACAGTGATTTTTCAGTCATTTTCCAATAGGTTAAATTATATCATTATTCAAAATATGGGCACATTTTCCATGAGAGGTTTTATGCAATTTCAAGATTACGTAATGATCTTGAGATATTTTTCCTTTGTGGCGGAACTGATCCAATAAAAGCTTCAAGATTAGCAACACAACTTCATACCTTCAAATTTTTTTGATTAATTACATCTTAGAGAGATCTCTTTTCATATAATTTTTGAGTAAACAGTTCTCTTAAAGGAGCTGATTGAGGAACCATTAACGTTGGCACTGGTGCTTCATACAGTCTGAACAACGCACTTAACGAGGAAATGGCATCGGGCTGTCTCTGCCTGTTCAGCAGGAGAACCACAAAGGAAGGAATGGCTTTTTCTTTGTCCTCCAGTGCTCACTTCTACGAGTGAAGATGAACTGTAGGAACAATTTTTCACTTCAATCATCAGTAATGAGCATGACTAGCAGATATCAAGCAGGAAGAGCAATTTTTATGTAACAATACCAAATTGTACCATGATGACATGAAAACCATCTCTGACCCTTTATTACAATTAGCAGACAACAAGAGCAGAATTCAGTTTCATCATTCTTATTCGGAGGAGTCCTACAGCTCATTAGACTGGACTGTCCAGTATCTCTTGGCTGTGGCCGTGCTCTCTGGGGTCCTGAATCCACCCCCTGCCAATTCCCTCTGCTCGCTCTCTTTCTCCCTCTCTCTCATCAGTGCCTGTTCTTTAATAAATTTACTCACACAATAGTGTAAGCCCCTGAGCACGGGGTTTTTTTTAACTTAATCCTGGTACAGATACATTTTAAAGCATGTTAGTAATTTAAAAAATAAACAATCACTTTCTCTTTTTATTCTAGAGATTATTCTAGTTTTATCATCATATGAAGGTTTCTAGATTTGGCAGTTGATAATACACAATCTGGGATTTGTGATGTTGCTTTTATCATTTGGTGTTTTTTGAAGTGCGAGTGAAGCTCCATGTTTTATTACATCTGGGACAGCGGTGGGGCGGGGGTCGCTGTCTGAGGAGCACGCCCGCCAGCCCTCACTGCCCCCAAAACATCCTTGTGATGGTATACCACTGAGAGCGTCCCACGGTCTGCCTTATCATTCGCTGTACAATTAAAATCAGATAACACGTTCCGGCATCATGAACGGCCTTTGGCATTGGGACCTGACACTTCTGACCTACGCTTATACATCAAGACGAGGACAAACACTGTTTGTGGGCTTCTAGGTCTGGCCAGTTCAGAAGAATACAGCTAACTCTCTGAAAATGACTGAAGCAAGGATGAAGTCACACCATGCGTTGAAGAAGTCTACGACATTTTAATTGTTACAATATTCAAAAGTCAACTTGAGGAACATCTTTGATTTTAAGTAGTTTGCAAGATTGAAGTCACACTATGTATTGAAGACATTCTCTAACACTTTAAATGTTAAAGTACTAAAAAATATATCAACCTGCTAAATAAAAAATATTTTTTTCAATAGCTTTCTTACTTCTCTTGTTCTAAACTGTACTTCTCTGTTAACACTTGCTTTAAAGTAACCAGTCCATGATCTTCAGAGGCTTGGCCCAGTACATTTACAAAATCCCAGCACCCTGCGGATACACCTTTTTCCCTCACCACTAGGCTTTGCAGCATATTTTACAGAAAGGGTTTCTGACACATTGCAGAGCGGTCTCAAAGCTCCTCGGTGCAGACTGAGTGGATGTCCTCTCCTTGTTGACGACGCACTTTATTTACGTCTGGCCCAAATCTCCACCATGGCATCTGGGTGGACTGCCTGGCTCAGTGGCCCCGGAAGAGTGCAGCAATCGTGATCAGACACCACAGGGAGGCTACTGCTCAGAGTGAGGAACAGTGGCCTCCAGCTTTTACTTAAAATGAATCAGAAAACTATCCTAACATAGAAAAGTATCTGGATACAAAATTCAGAGCTTGATTTTACAGTGAATTATAAATATGCAGCAAATTTAATGTACTTTAGTCATGACAGGAGGATCTGGTTGGTTAAACCCTTGATGTTTTTCTACCATGGCTCCCAACTTAATACATTATTATTGCCAAAGTCAGTGAGTCCTTAAGTACTTTAAGTGTGATAGGGATTTAGAGATGGTTTTTATGTCAACATAGTACAGTTTCATATTGGTTCTTAAAATTTACCCTCCTTTCTCAGTGTCTGCCCCTAATGTCAACACGGACAGTCATCCAAAACCCCGTAGTTCTTCCTCAATGTAAGAAATGAGCACCGGACACAGCGGGCGTGGGAAGGCATTCCCTTTGCTTCTGGGTTTCCATCTGAAACGGCAGCAGGCGGCCCCGTCCCTGAGTCTTTGGTGGAAACTGGAGGTAAATTACAACTCCAAAAAAAGCAAATGGTTAATGTTTACATTCTGCTCCCTTAAAAGAAATATTCAGAAATTATAAAGCAGCATGAGTATTTTAATTTCTTTTAATTTGGAGGATGATTTGGGACTATTTTATCTAAAGCAACATAGGGTACATTACACTCGATTAGGCACAGAGCAACATTTTGTCTAACTATTGCGTGTGTGCCTGCTAACCATAAGCTCTGTGAGGGCAGAAGCAATGTCTACTGTGCTGAGTGACATTCTCTGTGTTACATAACAGGTGATCACAAACTTTGTGTCAAATGAGTCCATGAGCCGAATGGGCTTACAAAAATGAAAAGCATACTTGACAAGCAGGGGTCAGTAAGAATGGGCCTTGCAGACTTCAACATGGGGAGAGTAGCTGACCAAGAGCCCCTGCGGCCAGGCTGAGAAATGCATCGCTACATTTGAGCCAAGGCCATGCTTCCCAAGGGCAGCTCCCAGCCAGTGGCTGGTCACAGCAGGGACTCTAGTGCAGGAACACTGGGACTCCTCCTCCTCCTCCTACCCTTTGGATCCCCAAAGGGTATGTGACCTCTCTAAGACTACACAGAAGGCCAGGATAGTTCCATCTAGCTCTCCCTCCCCCTCCTTCATTTAGAGGCAGAAGTGCATGACCATCAGATGCAGTGCAGTCTGGGCCAGCTCCCTCCTTCTATCCTCTCTCACTGGCGCTCCCTTAATGAAATCCTCACATGGTTAGTTTTGTCATGTCAGCTGCTTCCTGGAGGACCCGGACTAATGTAATAAGAAACTTCAAAATTAATAGCTCCATTTTAGCATCTATTTTACTATAAATTAATATACTACATTAAAATATAATAATATACTACATAGCATTTTATTGTAATGTCATATACCACACTAAATTTGATCATAAATTATCAGTCTCCTTTGAAATGATTTGAACTTGGCATTAGTCCTCAGTCAAGGTCCACGCCTTAGACACATGTCAAGTGAGTTCTTTCCTACACTTTCAGAAGAATGAGTAGCAGTCATTGCTGAATTTGGACTTTAATCTTATTTTTCAGCATGAGCAATATGCATTTGAATAATATGCTATTCTTGAATAAAAACACTAATATCTTTAATTCCCTACTAATCTCCTCTATTTACTTACAAAAGGGGGAATAAATATTCGTGCAATGGATGCTATTATTCTCCTGTCTGGTTAATACAATCCTTCTAGTAGAATGCAGATCAGTGTCCCAATTCTTTTATAATATATTTAACACAGTTCTACTCACAAAAAGTAGTTTCATCAGTAACTCCGGCATTAAATTTGAAGATGTTATTTCTTCAAAAAGACGATTTTATCGACATTATGAATAATTGTTAGAATTTTCTATCTTGTATTTTACATGTTTATGTAATGCCTCATCTGAGATCCTACTACACTGAGGAAGTCTTGAGCTGAGGATCTGTTATAATGATTTGATTTTTTTATTACTGTAGTTGAATTTATATAATTTACACTATGAAACAGACTTAAAATATTTCAGTCACGCTCCCCAATGTCTCCATGGTACTCTGCACGCATTCTGTGTGACCACCGTGGCACGCTGGAAGAACACTGCGACTCAGGACATGTCCTTTGTTCAGGGAATAAGTTTGGGTGCACATCATAGAAAGTCAATAAATATTTATAAACTTAACTATTAACCTCCTCAAAGGCCAATATTTTGATCATTCACCCATGTGTTTAATCAAACATTCTCAAGATGGTGAGATTATGTACAAGGAATGAGAGGAGTGATTAAGCAGGGGACAAATCATTGAAAAGGTCATGAAAATTTAAACCAGTTTACTATCTTGGACAAAATAGTCAGGTTGCCTGTTATTTCAACCTTTAGTATTTGATACTTTTGAAGTGTGAGAACAGTATGGTGCCTCGTTGTGCAGGAGTGGCATTATAGAGGAGAATGCCCCCACTCACAACTACATGGGCCTCTGAGAAAGTGCCGTTGCTGCCTGATCACTCCCTTCATAATTAAAACAAGGCAAGAGATTTCTTTTGGCGTGATGAATTTGCATGTGGTGTTTGCATGTGTGTGTGTGTGTGTGTGTGTGTGTGTGTTTGGAATACGACTCTTCTGACCCATGTTTAAGCACTATAATCAGAGGAGAGATTGTTTTCTTTTACTCACCTAAAATCCGGCCCAGTACAAGAGATTTGACTGCGCTGAATTCTGTACCTGATGACAGGTAGACTTGTCTCCTTGCATTCTCATCAATCTACAAAATTGTTTCATGAGATGCAAAAATCCAGATGGATGCCATTTCATTGAGGACAGGAAGCAAAGGAAGACAAAAAATATATATATAATAGGCAACTGTTAGTATAACCCCAAAGACTTAGGAAAAAATTCAGAGACTTATTAGCTATTTATAAAGTTGAATATTATTTTCTAAACTATTTCTATCGTACCCTCAGATGCCACTGCACCCCACCTTCTGTATCCTCAATCACTTAATTTTTCTCCACTATAAAAGAAAAATAAAATCGGGGGAACCAATATTGTTTTTTCACTTGACTTATGTAGCTAAGAAATTTTCCTTTACCAGGGGGCTGAAACATTAGTGCTTTTCTTCAAAAGCTGGTAGAGTAACTAATCCCACTTTCTCTGCTGTGGTTCTCACTTTTTATGTCCTATTCTGATATGGCGATAACTAATTTCTGCACTAGAATTATGGCTGCATCTAGACCCATCGGAGTAAAGAGGTTTCGTCAGGACACTAACGGTTCTGCCAGCAGTGCACTATCATAAGTGAGACAGCATTTCCCTCCGGAACAGCAAAACACAGGGGAAATTTGCATATTTAAGTATCAAATACTAACAACATCTTGGACAGAATCTTATCCCCAAAAAGACTCTGACCACGTTTGTTGGTCTGGGTATGATCTCTACACAAGCAGCACTGAAAGGCTGTCTTTGTTGATTCCATTCATTATCCCATTTCTGCAGTGGGTCCTTCATGGTGGGCAGTCCTAATCAGAGCCGCTTCCTCTCCCAGGTTTACTGTGTTACCTCTACGAAGACCACTCCCTCTTCTCTGTTAATCTTGATGCGGTGAAGCTGCCCATCAGCCATGTTCTTGAAATCAAAGGTAACAACATCAGGTTCTTGATATCTATTTAGCTTGTACCTGATCTGCAAACTTCCTAAAGTAGAGGGGAAAATTATGTTTTTACTGAAAGTTGTATTTTAAGAATTACATATAAAATTAAGAGTACCTTCTTTGTCATTTAGTAATTTCTGGGGAAAATTCACAATAGTTTGGGTGTTTTCTTTCATCATAACTCCTAGAAGTTGGTTTCTGTGAGAAATTGCACTACTTTCAAAATCAAGACCAAGCATGTTGCCAATAAGCAATCTTTTTCCTGAAAATCTTTCATTTTTTCCCCTAAAAATCAATATGCAATTAAGAAAACACAAATCTCTGTACTAGCGTCTCACTAAAAAAATAAGACTTGGTATATTATAAAATGCCAAACTACTGTGGGATGTTGTAACAGCATTCTATTTTTATAATCTCATCTGATTAAAAATATATCTCCTGAAATGTGACTCATAAAATCATTATAAGCGCATGCAGTTTACTAAGGATGAGAAATATTTGGTCAAGCGGTAATGATCATAAACTTTGGAATAAAATTAGGGTAAAACAAATGGTTTTAAGCCAAACTTACTGTTAGAACAATAGTACTCAATTGCCTGTAAAGAAGCCAATTAATTCATAGAACATCTCCCAATTTAACAAGGAAAATGTCCTAACATATAGATAAACTTTAAGCTCAAAATGTATACAGTGAGGGTAAATGATACTTATTGAACAATACTATTTTTACTTTGGCATTCAGTGCCCTTGGTTCACATTTGATTTGGTTGAAATGATATAGTCACACATTTTTAAATGTGTTTATTTTTTTCATGCAGAGAATATACTTATAAAATTGTTATCTTTAATCAGAATAGAGTGGAGAGAAAAAAGCAGCCAACAGTCTCCACAAGGTGTCCGGAGTGCACGCACGTCCTAATGTGTGCGCCCCAGCATTCCCCACTACTAGTTTATTGCCTACAGTTAGAATCCTCCGACTATTTTGTAGGCATCTTCTTATGCATAACACCAGTTTGTTAACATTCCTTCAACATTTTGTGCTTTGACTTGGAGGACATATTTGTTATGTACAGAGCACTCTTATTTCTTGAACCACAAAACTGATACTGATATTTATATGGAATAGTAAAGAGCTTCTAGCCATAATAAAACATAACAATATTTTATATAAATAAAGTAAAATTTATATTGGATATGTATAATCATCAAAATTGCAAAGAAATAAAGATAGCTCAATTACTTTAATTCTTTTAGATTCAATTTATAGGATAGTACTGAAAAAACACAATTGAACACCCGAAACAGGCACACTTTTCTTCCTGTTTGTAGTCGGAGAAGCAAGAATACGGAATGATCCCCATTATTACTGATGCAATGCTCTAACTCAATTTTCTCTCTCTCATCTAAAAAGCACTCACCATTTTTGGCAATGATAACTGAAAGATATTCTTTATAAAAGGAGCTCACATACAGCAGTAAGCTTGGTGTCCGTGTTGTTCGGAAGCTAAATGTGATCATTTCTCGGCTCAGCTTCATATCACCATGAAATGAAGCAGCGTGGGAGCTGGAGTTTTTACTTAAGGAATAATTTTCTTGAAAATTATAAATCACAGATGAGCCAGGCCCAAAGTATGCAGCAATCTCTGAAATGATATACACATTTTACATTAAAAAAATTAAGTCCAGGGATCTTGTTTCAGTTATTAACTGATACTTTTAATTAAAAATAACAAATTATATAAGTATAACAAATACCCTCAAACCAGAATTAAATAACACTGTAAATTAACAGAGCTTTCACCATGGTCATTGAAATGACTTTATGTTAGAATTATATATAATTACTTCACTAATTAATCTTATAATTGAAAGCTTACTGCTCTGCTGAGTTTAAACATAACCAGGCTTCTTGACTTTCATCTGCCTTACCACCCACCCATTTTCTTATTTAAATTTTAAGTCTCATCTATTTTCTTGTAGCCAGAATAGACCAGTCTTCCTGCTTTAGGAAGAAAGGAAGTTTGAGGGATCCTACTACCTTCCAGAATCTGAAGACTTCCTTGTATTTCCTGCACACTACAATAAGAGTAAGTCTAACATTAACAGGAGAGAGGAGAAGCGGGCATTTGTGTAGCAGTGATCAACATAAGGAACTATCCAGCCTCTTTTAATTCAATTTTCAAAAGCAGAGTCTTTTACTTATGAGATCAATATCCCAAATTCACACACACACACACACACACACCCAAACGTGGTTGTATAGAATGAAGAGGGCAGTGGGAAGGATAGTCAGTGTCGGATCCAGAAGCCTGATTCTTTCCATTCCTATGCAGGGCCAGCTGTTGGATATGAGCTGTAGACGATGCTTACAGGTAATATAGCAATGTTCTCACTCCCTTGGCACTTCAGGCAATTTTCCTTTTATTATATGTATGATTATATGCTTTTTACATTCGATATAATATGTGGATGCCGAGTAACATCCCTGATTGCACTTAGGATGAGCCGGAAATCATGTCGATACAGAGATCAGACACATTCTTGTGACCAGGCAGTTTTCATTCTAAGTTGCAACATGAAAAGTCTCCAAAGAAGGCTCCAGCCATGTGTGATTTATGACTTCAGGTTAACTTGAAATTATAACTTGTTCCTGGGGAAAAGCAGGTGACTTGCAGAGTGCACTTTGACATCTGTTCATTAAATAATCCCAAATGCTTCCTTTGCAAATTGGAGGTGGCTTCAATTTGGAGCCAATTTTTGTTCGCCTCCTTTCAGAAAAGGTTCACTAACCCAGAAACACTTAAATAAAGCAATTGAATTAAACTGAATGGCAGTTTTCTATGAGAAACTATGAAAGTTTAACAAACGTTTGTATATTCAGAAACATCCGTCCAGAACACTTAAAACTGCACTCAATTCTTTTTTCTTCCAGGATGCAGATCAGTGAACAAGAACATCTGAAACACATTCCACTGTTTTACTTCACAGTCAGATATTCGGTATATAGAGCAAAATGCCCATATTTTGTTACACATCAGTATTTAATTAAAAAGGTATTTATATTCCTGGAAGAAGATGTTTGGATAAAGCAAGCAAACAAGCTGACAGTATGTCCTAGATTTTCCTGCATTCTTGACTATCTTCATCAAAAATAACAATAATTCCTTTAATGACTTTAAAACAAAGAATTGCCCAAAGGAGCAGGTTGTTGACAATCATATTAAGAGCATCAATATTAAATAGGAAAAAAATCAGTTTGACCAGCTAACACTTTAAGACAGCCACAGGCAACTATTAGAGGATTTATCATCAATAGATATTTTTTAACAAATAAGGAAGTGTGATTAGCGTAAAACAGTAATTTGCCAAAAAAAAAAAAAAGAGAGAAATGGGAATATTTTTGTGTCAAAGAGCTACAAAGACAAGAACTGTTAGACGAGTATTCACGCAGGACTCATTTTCCTGCTGGGGCACTGCACGTGTCCTTACCATCAGAGCAGAACGGCCCAGCGTAGGCAGAGAAGGTGCAGTCACACGAGAACCCGCGGGGCTTTTCTCTGCACCTCCCTCCGTTCCGACACAACTTCCCATAGCTGCTGCAATGGCCTCTGCAGCCCGGCTCCACTCCGGGAGTCACCTTGGCTCTCTCCTCCAGGTCCAGGGCCAGTCCGTTCAACTGCAGAGACCGGATGCATCCCAGGAAGCCCCTCTGTCGGGTGGCCGTCCCACCTACAAGGGAAATACTGCAAATGGAAACACGTTCCTAGGTTTTTAATTCAGGATTTAAAGACCAAACAAAACTGAGGCCTCACAGAGAACGGGAAAAACTGTGGCCTTATAGAAAATGGCAAAAATTTAAAAGAGCAAACACAAAATTTGGAAAGCACGATTTGTGACTGAACATTAAAAGACTCAAAAAATATATAACATTAGTTCAATATTTTTCCAGAAGATGAATTTGTTACATGTTTGTTTTCTAAAAAAATTTATTAAACTTAATTGGGGAGGTTGTTTTAAAAAATTAGTTGCTTTATTTCAAAGAACAAAATAAAGGCTACATCTTACTTCAAAAATAACAGTGAGATGTATTGATGTTCTTATGTAGGAAGTGTTTTTTGAAATTGTAAATAAGAATATGTTTAAGGGCAAGCATAGTTCATCTTTCATATTGAAAGATGATGCTGGTGCTGAAACAATTTTAATCCAGTGGGAATTATAAGGAAATCCTTGCATTCTCCTAACTTGGCTGTGCCTTGATGTGATTTTTTAGTTGGTTTCTGTTGTCGTTGTTGAATTTTTTTCCACATGTTGGTCCAGCATTCATTGTTTGAAGCTTAGAAAGATTCTCAACGAAACAGGGAAGGGGACTGATGGAGAAATACAGTGCCACAACATATACTGAATAATACACAACAAGATGTACCTAGAGGTGTAAAATGTCTGGATGGGTGCAGACCCTGTTATCCTAAGGCAGAGGTTCTCAAACTTTAAGGAATATGAATATCCATGGAAGGACTTCATAAATATACAGACTCAGGAACTCACCCCCCAAAATACTGACTCTGTGGGCCAGGAATAGAGCTGTGAATCGAAACACTCGACAGTCCTCACAGGTACATCTTACTAAGATGATCATCTGACCACCACATTTAATCACTATTCTTATAGGAATGTAAGCTCTAGGTGAACTTTCACATAAGTTCGCGTCCAGAAATACCATAAATTAATGCTTAAAACCTGAAGTGGCAAAATAGTAGCCTAATCTAATTTATTTGAGCAATTCTACTGCAAGAATTGCTCACGTGGTCATGGGACTTCTAAACACGAGCTTGTCTTAGAACAGATGGTGCTGCCGCCCCACCAGGCCATCTTACCTGCTCCGTGCATGTTCCATACATGTTCCATACATGTTTGCTCCCTCTGATCCAGTTCATTCCACTAGCTTTTCACCTAGTCTTAATTATTTAAAACCACCTTATCCTCAGAGACTGAACATTTTTTTCAATTTCATAAACAAAACTTCACCAGAAAGACCCTAAGTAAATATTCGTCCCCATCGACTAGGCTCTACGTTTTACCAATTTCTTTCGTTTACCACGCCGCCCTCCATCAGAGCGCACAGTCAATAGTGCTGCTGCTTTAACCAGGTGGCATCCCCAGCACACAGCACAGTGCCTGGGCCATAACGGCTGGGCAATAACTATTCATAACAAATTAATTAGCAACCAACACTAATAACAACTAATCATTAACACTCACTTTATTACTAATTATTAATTAACACAGGTGTTACTTAAACCAGATAATACCTCCAACTGGGTATTATCTGGGAGACAAGAGCTTGGTGCTTCAAAGTTTGACGAGAGAAACACTTTTTGCTACACAGGGATGTTTGGGTCCCTGAGAATGAAGATAAAACTCAATGAATATATTACATAATAAGTCAGTTCCTTATTGTTGGATAATGAAATACTGTGAAGAGGAAAGGAAAAGAACTTCTAAGAACTTTGGACTCTTGGCACTAACTGCTCTTTATAATTCAGATTCAGAGACATAATGGTCTCTGTTCAGAAGGCTGTATTTAAATGTCTGTATTCAAATTGCCTAAATTGACATAATTTGTGCCTCTTCAATGAAGAATATAAAAGTTTTCAGGGCGTGGGTCAGATTTTCTGTTCCTAACTCCAAACGCAGGGGTGTGTGCAGCCAAATGCATTCCATTTCCAGTGTGCGTGGGCGTGAAGAGGAGTTGATTTTTTCCCCTTTCTTTTTCCTTTTTCTTATTGTTGTTCAAGTACAGTTGTCTCCATTTTCCTCCCACCACTGCTCCAAACCTTAGCCATCCCCACCTCCCACCCTCGATCCTCTCCCCCTTTGGCTTTGTCCATGAGTCTTTTATACCTGTTCCTGACAACCCTCCCCTCTTTTCTCCCTATTATCCCCTCCCACCTCTCCTCTGGTTACTGTCAGTTTGCTCTTAATTTCAACATGTCTGGTTATATTTTGCTTGTTTGTTTTTTTGATTGGGTTCCACTTATAGGTGAGATCATATGGTATTTGTCTTTCATTGCTTGGCTTATTTCACTTGGCATAATGCTCTCTAGTTCCATCCTTGCTGTTGTAAAGGGTACGAGCTCCTTCTTTCTTTCTGATGCACAGTATTCCATAGTGTAAATGTATCAGAGTGATATGATAGTATACACAGAAAATCCTATAGACTTCATCAAAAAGAGCTGATTTCATCCCAGTTCCGAAAAGCTGGCCATTTTCTCATGTCATTCACCTCCATGTACTCAATCTCATGTCATTCGTACAGTCTCTCTTCTGCCTTCTTCTCAGGACTTTTCTCTTCCATATAAAAGCTGCTGCTCACCTTAGCTTCAGACCTCTCTACTCTCCCATCTGCTAACACAACTCAGTAAAAATGTCTAGGACTCAGAGTTAGATCTTTGACAGACACTTCCGGCCTCCTTGCTGGACTTTTCTTTCCTGAGTAAGGTAGCCTGCAGCTGTGGCTTTAGGTTCAGCCCGGGAACTCTTTGGAGGAGAAACAGATCTGGAGTAGAGGTGTACTCCTGGTATATTTCTTTCATTTACTTCATGCGACAGTACTTCAAATCATGCCATGTAGTTTATATACATTGTAATGTTAAATCGCGGTCTGTTATGCATTTGTTACTCTGAGCCTTCCTGACTCTGATTTATCTCAGTCTGCAAAGGAACACGGTACTAACTAAATCACTCCAAGACCAACAACTGAATACAATCCATTTTTAACTATTCCAACATACCTATTCTTGCTTGTTTAATTTTGTTTTGGGTCATGTGATAAGACACCAAAGGCAGAGAGAAACCCAAGGCTGGACCATGGGCAGAGCTCAGTGATTTTAGAATGTATCTAGTTAGAGGCAGAGGCAGGACCAGAAGCTACAGGTGGCCTTTTGTTACAAGGAAACTTTTTTTCTCTCCACCAAATTATGGTCAAATAAGAAAACTTCCATTTTCCTCTGCTCCTCAGGTCATTTTCAGTTGGCATGGCACCGCAGCCCTGCAAGTTTTGTTTAGAAGATATCTGCTGGGCCCTGCGTCAGGCCCCGGGGGCACAGAGTTGCACGCAGATGACCTCGCTCTCAAAGACCTCCCAGTCCAGTTTCGATTTAGCCAGAACACGCATAATCACTCCATGATGTTGCAGGAATCAGATACCAGGTGGAGAGTAAGGTCAGAGGATTGGGATATTAACAGGTAAAATATATGTCTATATGTGTGAAACACATGCTTAAACAGTATTTGTAGAACAAAATCAACGCTCAGCTTTGTAAACAGCACTTCTTAATTCTGTACTATTAAAGAGTTAATGTGTACCCAGTCAAATAGTTTTAAACTACCTTTTTAAATTATCAAAAAAGTAATGTCTAAATAAATATAAACATAGGTGTCATACATGCATGGGGGATTTTTACCTTTACTGTTAGGTTTCAAGTTAAAAGCATTTTGAGATGTAACTATTCTGGAAAACATGCGTATTATAAATAGGATCTGATTTAAAAGCGTAATTAAAGATTCCAATGTCTTTTCAGGATTGGAGTATGTCCAATTAAAATAAGCTGCAGTTTGATGAATTGATTCTGGATGTTTCTGCTGAGCTATTATATTTGGAACCATCTTCCAATTAATTTTCTATCAGTTTATCTGCCATACTACACCAGACAGAATGAATTCCAGAATTTCCTGAACACCGAGCATTTTGGGAGAGAAGTGCCTAGCCTGTCTGTGTGGATGGACGTACCTGAGCTTGTTCACTTACAAACAGCCGGGGTGCTGCACCTACGTGAGTGCACAAGGTGCTGGGCAGAGACCAAGCAAGCCCGATCCTTTTACCTTGCTCATTCCTCTCAGGGAGTCAGTCTAAGACAGACGCTATTGTCACAGAGAACAGAGCTGCCTCTTTCCTGTGCCAATTTTCCATGACCTTTTTTTGCATGGCTTCTTGTGGCAGGAAGACCTTAAATTTTTAATGGGCAATAATTTATGTTCTATGCTTGGCTATATTGAGGATTAATTGGGAACAAGTGCATAATTCGCTCAGGGGCCCTAGAGAAAGAAAGAAATCAAGATCTCCATGCTTCTCTTTAAAATTCGAAGTTATGAAAGCTTGTCTGGCAGCACACAGGAGCTCTCCCTGACCATGGCATTGTGGCAGGAAAAGGAGCTGAGACCCAGAGTGCAGGTTAGCTTGCTGCACGCAGGCTGGGCCCAGGACCAAGGCAGGGTATGGAAGGAGAAAAGTGGTCTTCTGTGCATCATGCACTGGGCCGTTGGTCCTTTCCTACCCAGGCATGCTGGGGAAAAGACGGTCCTGCAGCAGTGAGGGTGTAAGTTCGTGCGGAGGGCTAGGAGATGGGAAGCCCGGCTACAACTTTGCTATGGGATAGTCCACACTGAGCAGAGCCCGGGGAGGGCTGGAAAGAGGGAAACTGTTCTTATGTTCAAAGAACCATTATGGCTGAGAGAGGCAGCTGGTACAAGCAACACTGTCACAAGAGACCACGCAGTCACTTTTCTCCGAATCAAAGTGAGTGGTAAGAACATGCCCTGCTGGCAGCAGCAGCAGCAGGACAAAGTGGGTCTATTCAGACTTCTCACATCAGAGCCACAGCGGCTCTCTCTTTCTTTTTTTTTTAAACATACTAAGGCCTATTTTAAAGAAATGAACTACTGGTGGTATT